TTGTAAATCTATATAAAAATTAAAAATATTAAAAAAATTGTCCAATATATTTCATATCTAGCTATAATTTCCCCCTCGTGGATTGAGACCTTGTCGTGGTGTGGGGGCTTAGTACGTGACTTTCGAACAAAAAATATCACTGAAACTAACCGCAATCCTTATTTAAACTTTTTTTATATTTTGTACTTACTGCAAGGGTATTTCAACTTCGGCTAGCCGAAGTTAGCTTCCTTTCTTGTTTTAATTGAATAAATACTTTAGATTGTTTCCTTTCTCCCACTAAATTTTACAATATTTAATTTAGTTTACAGTTCATAAAATAAACCATTTTTAAATTCTATCCCACAAAACTCTGTCGCTCTCGTTAGGGTATTGAAAAGGAAATTTTGCGCTTGTTAGCTATTTCCGCTAAGAAAATGGCTGACTTGTTAAGTACGAACAAGGCACCATTTTTTTTTTTGCACGCGTTATATACATTTTTTTCTTAGCTTGTTAACAAATTTTATGCATTTCTTAACTTTTGGAGGCGAGTTAACGAGTCCCGGTCTCTGGAATCCAACTTGCTTATTATTATTTGCGGCGATTCTTTGGAGCTTGCTTGGGGAATCCTCTGGGGGAACGCATGCAAATGGCAGAGGAGGGTTTGGGGGCCTGCATTGTGGTTATCATACTTTAACAAGTTTTCAAAGAGCATGAAATTTTCCTTTGGTCGTGTCCTGGTCCAAGCCAAAATGCAACTTGGGCGCAAAAATGTAGAATGCAAAATGCTGAAAAAGCTGCGTGCAGCTAACTTTTTATCGCCGCACCCTGGACTGGCTGGGCTAAGAAAAAAAACTAAATATCATGCAAAATATTGCATTAAAAACGACTCAGCAAAGCCACCATCATAATGGATAGAATGATGATCGGGAAGCTGCTTTCCCAGCACTGCAGGTGTATTGTCCGAGTGCGGTCTCATTTTGTTAATTTCTCAGACCTGCTCTCCTGGGGCTGCTAAGAAAGGCCCAAGGAAGTCGTCGTTGTTGTGGGTGCTGGCGGTGTACAAAGGCGAAAATGAATTCATAATTAGATGACACCATCCGTGCGTAAATAATAATTTTTGCCCGGTTTTTCCATTTTTCCTTATGCAACCTCGCTGGCTTGGGCTTGGCGGCTCCCTCTGCCAGTTAGTTAAAACGCGCGAATGAGTTTTCTTGAGTTTTCCCTCTGCTTTTCCATTGTCAGCAGAAAATTTTCCCTCTGCTCAAGTTTTATATATATGTATATTTAGCCAGGCGGCGACTCTGTGGGCTGAGGTTCAGCAAGTTTTTATCCAATCGCTGCTCTCCGGTATACCCTGTATTCTGCAGTTATATGGGGGTATATACGAATAGATAGAGGGACTCATCTTAAGTTGTTTCTTAAAAAGTTGTATATATTATAGAAAACTATAACTTGTTTGTATATGTGAACAAGTTAAGGAAGAATTTATAATCTACGAATTATGATCATCAAAATTTCAGGATAGAGTCTTAAAACTATTTTGAATATTTATTTAGATAATCTATTTAGGTAACTTTTTAAAGTCTTAAGCCCTAGGAAAACGCTCTTAGCAATATATTATTTTTACGCAAAAATCAAAGGATACCGATACTTTTAAGTATTAGATAATTGTTAGAAGTTATGATTGATATATTTTTAGGTATATTAAAAGCTTAGTATGTTTTATGATAACATATATTAGTGCCTTAAATTCTAGTCTAGATTTCATTTAATAATTCTTGAAATATATGTTTTCTTTGTCCTTTGTTTTTCTGTACCTGCATAGTTAATTTATTACCAATTGTGATGTATTTAGCTTCATAGGGCACCCATAATTCGCCAGACTTGAAGCTCTACTTTGCGCTGTTGGCCAAGTTACCTACGCCATTGGTATCATCTAGCCGGCATCTTCTGCTGCTGCTAGTTTGGCTGTTCAGTTGAGTTCAGCGCGGCTCAGCACGTCTCATCTCGGTTCTGGCCAAGTCGAAGCCCAGCTCTATTTTGCTCCACTCTGTTCTGTTCTGTTCAGTTCTCTTCTGTTTGTTTCTTTATCGCGCTTTTGCCAAGTGGCAAAGTTTTCTCGTTATAAGTTTTGTAGCCTTTGTGTCTCTCTCGCGCAGCTCCAAGCTTTTTGCCGGGCCGAGCGCGATGCGAGGAAACTTTCCGATATTCCTTCAAAAGTTTATGGCCAAGCGTCGAACGAGTCGCGAATCCCCAAAAAAAAAAAAAAAAGGAAACACACACACACACACAGAAAAATTATGGAGGACGCCAGGATTCGCCGGCAACACGTTTCCCTACTTTCCTACCCCAATTGAGAGTTGGCAAACAAAAAAATTATATTATTTTATTGTTGTTTGGCTGGCGCATAACTTTGTGCCAAACACTTCGTTCACTGTGGGACTCGCATTATCCCAAACGAAAGTTTTTCTCGTTTTTATTTTTATTTTTTTTTTTCTAGGAAATGGAAGACTTCTGTTCTGTGTTCGCCTATAACTTTTGGCTCCATTTGCCGCCGTATTTCGAAGTCAGGCAAAGTCAGAGCCAGACCCTGGGCAGATAAGGAAAACTATTTCCATATTCACATGCAACTGGCAAGTGCACTTTAAATTCTTGCAAATGAGTAGCTCGGCTCAATGCGGTTGAACAAATTTACCATTCGCATTTTGATTGCCAAAAGTTGTACCCTTTGTACTGGAGTGAAAAAATAATTTATTCATATTACACTTGAAACATTTCAGTGTTGAGTTGGGTAATTGATATTGAGCTTTAAAAAATCATATATATTTTTGCCTAATTAAAACTATTTTAAAGAACTTTTATTCGTTTTTAAAACACTGTGTAGAAAAATGTATGCTGATAACACATTAATAAAAAACTAAAATGTTTTTTATTAGTATTTGTTTATTGTCAATAAACTTTTGGATCAGAAAGATTAAAGCTTACTTAACAGCTGCCTGGAAAAATAGCACCTACAATATTATCAGCAATAAATATTTCTATATTATTATTCTAAGCTTGAAAATAATGAATCACAGACAAAACAGCGAATCTCTAGCGATAAGGGATGAATCAGAAGCTGATTATCTCGGAATAGGTGGAAATATATTAAAAAACAAAAAACTATAGTCCGAAGTTTACAACGTAATAAAGGAGACATGACCGACCGTATAAAATATAATAGAAAATTTTATATTTTTGATCAGCGTCATACATATAACCCCCACTGTAATAACGCATGGCCTTTGAGAATCTCACAATTTTATGTCATAGCAACAGAATCGACAGGAAAATATATAAACACCACTTAAAATTTCTACTCAAATTCACTTAAAGAAATTAATATAAACCTATAATAAACTTTTTTAATGACTTTTTATATAATTTTTATTATTATTAAGTCAACTTTGTGAAATGGAAAATACACATTAAAAATATATTAAAATGTAATATATATAAACACAATTATTACTGACTAGTCAACTAATATTTTTACCATTTATTGTTTAGCTTAAGAGCAAATTAAACCAATTAATAATTAAATACAATTGAAATATGTATTTTTAGGAGTTATTAGCTTATTCTGTCACAAAAAATACAAATAATCCCCATAAAGTGCAATAAATATATTATTTCTTTATTCCCTCCGTTGGTGACCTTAATGGATCTTCCTGCCACTGACCAAAAGCGGATGCACTGCCTCAGGCATCCGCTGATTCCTACCATATGTCCACGCCATATGCTGGTAATTGTAAATTAAAATGGAATTTTTGTCATGCGACCAGCAATTAATATGCAATGAGCGATAAATAATAATAATTAACAACAAATTATGGCAAGGAGTGGCCTGAGAGAGTGTGTGTTGCTGGGTGAGGTGGGGGCAGTGGGGCAGATTTATGCAGGAACTAATTTTCAAGGTCATTAGAATACCCACCGAATGGAGAGCCACTGACACTGAGCATCCCATTGTTTGGCTAATGTTTATTGATAATCACAGACAATGGACTAGCCCACTGTCATTGTTGTTGCTATTATTGTTCGAGCGTAACCCATAAATACTCCAGGGGCAGTCAAAACAATTGCCGGGGGGGCTGGGCTTCTGTTTGGGCTTGCCACCAAGCGGCGGCGGCGCCTCTGACTGAGACAATGAGCAAGGCAAATCAACGCAATCGATAGGCACTTTGATTTGGGGGACACCAAAACCACCGCCGCACCCTTGGCCCACTGGCACCACGCCCACTAGGAGGCAATGGCGGCGACGGACAACTATTGTCCTTTTTGGGCCGGCATGCAGCAAATGGCACAACTTCCGCTCTCGCGCTTGACTGCTGCAAAATGCACGGAAATTATCAATAAATATGCGAGGCCCGGGACCCGTGAAATGAATGAAACTGGCAAATTTTTCGCCATATCTCTGCTCTGTGGCTGAACTGATTTTTATGCAGCACGGCACACGATCCAATGTCCTGTGTCCGAGCTGTCCGAGATTTGTGCGCCCCCATAGCGGAAGCATCATTATCATAAATTATCATTTTGTAGGAATTGCATCCGCTGCCAGCCAGAAAAACCGAGCAATAACAACAGAAATGACGACAATTTCAATTGCCGGCCGCCCTTCCTTCGTGTTGGGAACCCACACCCACTCCCACTTTACTCCCCTCCCCCCCATTTGGTGTGCTGTTCGAATTGGCAAATACTTTTCTAGTTTAATTTATGGCTGACCAAAGCGACCCAGGGATCGACCATCAGTCGCATTTATTTCTGGCAAATCTGTTTCATGTTTCATGTTCAATGAAGATTTAATGTTTTTTTTAAAATAACATGAACTTTAAGGGGTTTACTAGAATATATATTTGAGAATTCAGTTATTATTTCAACAATAAAGAAAAACTGCTTAAAAAGTCAGTTTTCAGGCACATCAAGATGTTTGCTAAGGTCTTTTTAAAAGACTTATTAAAGTAAATAAATCATTATAAAAATTACGAATAATCTTCAGAACTTTATTTAGTTAAAATTTAATAGTAAAGCCAAAGAGATGATGAGGATATATTAGTGTTATACTATTAAATATTATGATTTGTAGCCACCATGAACAAAAATAATTAGTTTAAAATATTTATAAAAATTGTGAATTTTTAAATATTCAGTTCGCAAATATAGTAGTTTCTTTCCGAGCAAACTATGTCATTCATGTAATGATTATAGTCTCTGCGCAGCTCCACGCAATCTTCACTAGAGTTTTCTAAGATAAGGTTATTCGGCTCGCGAGCTTCCCACTTCAGGAAAGGTGCTATCTGGCTAGACAGTCCGGACACATACTCTCCCTCTTCTAAAATATCATTGATGTCAATCCAGTAGCTCTTGTCGGCCTCCAAGTGATCCGTTATTGCACTCCATTCCTCTTCGTTTTGGAGACTTGCCAGTTTGCCGTTCAACATTCCACATTTACTCAAGGCAGCGAACCAAGTAAGCTGATTTTCGTGCTCAATATAATAATGCTTTGAACCGATCCATTTGTAGTTGCTACCAGGGATCCTTATTTTTTCCTCTAATTCAGCATTCAAATTACCTTTAACTTGGTCTTCAACTACAGAGAACCTTTCAGCCAGATTGTCATATTTTGACGTGAATTTGGAAATCTTCTCTTCCAAATCCTTCTCCCAGTTCTTTTCAAGTTTTTCGAGCCTCTCAATGAGCTTCATATTCTCGGATGGAGGCAATCGTATTACCTTTGCTCCATCCACTTCGTAGAAGTTCGGTTCCAGCTTTAACGGTGTGTATTTGTCATCTTCTTGTTGAGTTCCCAACTGCACTTCCATTTCTAGCATTCTGTGCTCCAGATTTTGGCTCTCGGAGAACTGGCGATCTTCCAATCTGACCAGCCTCCGCTCCAGATCATAGAACACGGGATTATCTTGCTATTTTTTGGGAGGGAAAAACGTTTTACTTTTAAAAGAATATAGTTATTTAATTGAGTAAACTTACCAGTCCTCTGGCCAGGATAGTATGGCAGAGAGCGGAAAACAGGACTACTAGAAAGTAACGCATTTTGTCTGTTGCTCTAGGAAATAAAGACTGTGTGTCTGATGTTATTAGACGATGTTTATATAGGTTGCCAGCTTGAATTAGTATATACTTAATCTAAATGTTTGTCGTCAGAAAATAGAGATTGTATTCCTCGAAAGCTATCTCTTGTTTGTTTCAATAGAAAAGCCCAGGCATTTTTTGTTTATTTGCGGGAATGGGAGGCCTTTTAACCTCAGGCGCTTGTGCAAATTGTTATCAAAAACACGAAATATTACTTGGAATTCGCAAATGAGCAGCGTCTAGAATGTCTAGAAGTACGTAATTAATCACCTTCTTTGGTGACTTTATTTAAAATAAAAACAAATTTAACGGTAGGGTCTTGCAATATAATTTGCATACTTATTATATTTAACATTTGCTATGCTTGTTACCAAATAAAAGTGACTAAAATTTGTAATATTTATCAACCAATTAAGACCACTTAAAATGTAAAATATGTCGTATCAGAGAGTACAAAGACTTCAGGAGTCACGTTTGAGCCATGAGCCAGGGACGTGAATGAGGCTGCTCAGAGATAGTCTCCGGTCTGTAGTTGAATCATACCAGTCCCATATAAATCTCCCTTGCATTGGAGATATATTTGAATGCCAGCACGTCGGGGCTTCGCAAGGCATTTGGGATATGAGTAATATCTAAGTAAAAAAAAAACACACAAATCAGGATAAACAAATCAATTACACTCACCATATAAACCACTTTAAACTTACCTTATCAGGAAATATTGGAAATATTTATTTTACATTATCATAATAAAAATTTGCTGCTAGGGCCGTTGTTCTTTTGGACTTGAAATACTCCATGTTGGATTGAATGCAGTGAGCGGCAATGCGACAGCCCACTATGAAAAGCATATAGCACAAGTACAGCACGAATGCTACGTGCATGGCGTCGTCCTGACGCAGCAGTTCAAAGTTGTCGTTGGTGATCAGGATGTGGCAGATCGTCACGATGACGGTACTGACCAGAAATACGGTTACTTCCAGGTCCGCCAAATAGAACCATTTGTTGAAAATATGCACGGATCTGATGCAGTACACCAAAATGAAGCCCATGAAGCCCACGATGGCCAACTTGACGGGATTCGGATATGCTTGGTAAAAGATCAGCAGGACGCATACGAGCATTGCAAATGCCGAGAATAACACGCCCACGCCTATCAGTATAAGCGTGTGGATAAGATTCCATTTGGTCAGGTAAAGGGCTACGCCAATCGTTAATATCTCGTAGCAGATGAGGAGACATACAAAGTTCCAGGGACGCTTGTACTTCAGTACTTCGACTATATGGATGCAGGCGAGCAGGACGAACCCGACAAGGATTAGGATCAGCGTATATATCAATGGGTTCTTCGCATACAAGCACATGATCATCCACTGGGGGATGGCTATCAGCAGGAAGAGTAGCCAAATCAACAGGGTCAGTAGCACAAACTTCCCCTTGATCAAAGTATTAGGTATGACCTCCATGGCACTCGCGTCTTAATCTTATCACTGTTGCTGGCAGACTCTTGCTTCTCAACTCTCTGGCAATGGCTAACAAGGTACTTTTCTTCAGATAAACCATAGATTTTTAAAAAGTTTCTGAAATACGAAATATATGAAATTTAGAAAGGCAGCTAAACACTCTACTCGTTTAATTTTGAATGACAACTGAGGCTCTTCTGTGATTGTAGAAACTATGAAAATGGTTAGCCTCCTGCGACAAATCTAAATGTATATGGCAGCCGGAAAAGTGCCAACTCTGCCACATATCTTGACAACTTCCTATTGAGGCTCTGCACCCAGCCGATGAAGCCAGAGAAACGCTAAATAAATGACAAAAAAAAATGTCGCATAAGCTGCAAGGACACTTGAGGCTCAGCAGCGGCCAAAAGTCCTTTGAAGTTGGATAAAAACTCGAGTCCCATGGTCGGGCCAGTTTGTCTCCAAGGAAATACAAAAAAATAAGATCCCAGGCGAGAGGAGTGCGGAGTAAAATCAATCTGCGATAACCAATGTTAAGAATATGAGAGGCTTTATAATGCTATACAATAACAAATATAGCAGAGCAACTTCCAGAGTCCAGCGAAAATACATACAGACAGCTGAGGTCAAAATAATAGTAGTGAGGCTTTAAAAACATTTTTAAAATAATATTAAGCAAGAATAATATACTTTTTTAAAGGCTTTAGTATAAAAATAAGCTTTAAAATTTTAGTAAAACACTTATAAGGCTTAAAGTGATTCCTTTAAAAATATATTTGTAATAAAATATTCTACTAAAATAAGCAAATAGTTGGTAATTTAATTTGTATTATTTTTTAAATAAAACGTTCATACAAACTTACTTTTTTAACCTCGTCTGTGCAGACATATATGAGCAGCATAATGAAATAAAAATAAAAGGAAATGTTTGGCTGGGAAATTGAATTGGAAAACGCACACACACACACATACTACACTCGTATTGAATGGTGGACAAAAAAAAACCAATCAAATAAGGGAGAGTCAAACCGGACTTCACCTGTCGCTTATTTCGTTCTTAATTTTAATTGAAAATTTGTACAACATCGTAGTCGTCTCTCTTCGCCATTGTAGTTGCTTGCCGTGCTTCTCGTCGTTTAATTACAAGCGATTAAAATCTGTGAAAATTTATTAAATTCCATAAATCAGCACAGCTTCACCCCTCAGTCCCCCCCTAGTTGGCTCTGCGGTCATTCCCCTGACAATTATAAATTATGCGTTCGTTGCCGGGCCACCTCACTCGTTTCCACCGAAAAGGACGAAATGGTGGCTTAACCACAAAATGTCACTTCACCCGCTTGCCAGGGCTGGCTGACAATAACCGCTTTTTTAACGTTCCTGATTATGTAATTATATGGGTTTTGGGTTGGGCACACACACCCTCACAGCTTCATCCACCGAAATAAAAGTATGCGGTTACCCCATCGCGAGGGTTAAGACTATATATGTATATATATCTGAACAGATCTGATTGCAGTTACCGGGGGCAACCTGTTTGAACTCGTGTGACCAGGCGACCACAAATCCATATGCCCAATTAGAGGGGTTTACACATCAATTTGGGGATTGTATTGCTTACAATTATTAAATGATTTATTTGAATTTTTTATTGCAATGAGAGAAAAAGGGGTAAATTACTTTTAATAATTTAAAATTTTACTTTCATTTATGTATTCATTGATTATGTCTTCTTTTAAGAATTTAAATATTCATGTTATATTTATCAATAGTTGAAAACTATATTACTTACACACTTTATTGATGAATTTGTTATGAAGTTTACTATAATTTCTTAGGCTTTTTAATATATTAAGTTCCTAAAGGATTATGCGAATAAGAACTTAAATATAAGATCCTTTTGAATAAACATTATTAAAAATGATCGATTTGGTTTATTTTTACCTCACAATCCCACAAACTTTGCTAAACATTCATCCTGACAAATTACAATGACCGGGAGTTGTAACCCACGCGAAAAAAACACGCAAATAAATTACAATAAAAAAACCTAGAAAATGGAAAAAGAAAACCGACCACAGACAGCAGTTAAATGATGCTACTTTGGCGATAAGAACCCAGCGAAAAAATGCGGCTCCAAAAGCAGGACAACCCCAAGCGGCGCGTTATTTGTTTTGTGCGTTGTCCAAAACAATTTCCTTCCTTAATCACTGGCTAACAACGTGGAGGGAGGGCCAAAAATTACATTTATCTGACCAAGGGACGAACAAATCAGGAAGATTCACAGAAAAAAAATATTCATATATATATCTATAGGTACACTAAAAAAAATCAAATCATATGGCACATATTAACAGTGAAAAATCGGAATGCCTGAAATAGATTTTCAAAATGTCCTGTAAAAAAAAAATTATAAAAACGTTTTTTTTGTGAATAAAAAATTCTTTTAAAAAATAAATAAAATTTCAATAAAGTAAAACCTACATTTGTAGATCCTCTTTTTTTTGCCCTGTAAATATATGGAGTGCCCAGGGACAACATTTCTAATTGTAAAAGATAAAAAAGCAAGGCGAACCAACTTTGGGCTGCTCGGTCGACATTTCTCGTTAGACCCCGGCCACAAAAAAAATACAAAAAAAAAAGAACGGTGAAGATAAATGACAGGCAACTTTTGGAGATGGGGCTGGCATGGATTTTGGATCTGGTCAGGGAACAAGGCTGGGGGAGTGGGAGTTCGCGTGAGTGTGTTTGTATGTAAAGACATTTGGCGGCAACTGTAGCATACATTCGAGTGTCTTTGGGCTTTCAGCACATTCTATGTATGCCAACAGCTTGTCAAGTGTTTCAGGGGTTCGTTTTTTCCCTTTTTTTTTTCTTGGTATTTGTGCTATCGATGTCGCCATAAGTTGTGCAAACCCCTTCAGATGTCGGCCGCCTTGTCCGCCTGCCACAATTTCCCCGGCTCAAAACCAGCTTCCCTCTCTGCTTGACCAAGTGCAAAATGTCAAGTTTTTCCCTTTGATGTGCGATCAGATGACGTACCGGGGCCAGTATGTAAATTCATTCAGATTGATTCGTTTTAATCGCAAAAACACCACTAACCTACAACAAACAATAATCTCACTTCAAGCTGATTACTTTGTCCAATGGGAGCCGGGTTATCAGCAAATCTGATCCGCTGCTCCATGAAATTAATTGAACTGCTTTTTGTCGGTCATATGCCAGCATTTCAATTGATATATAGACAAATTTGATATAGTTTGAGACTTGAATCTGATTTGAATAGGAATTTCTTACACTAATTAAATGAGCTCTTGAATGAATGAATGTAAAAACTTTCGACTTTAATGCGTGATTATAGGTAATTATATTAATGACGATTATCAATTGTAAGTGTCGCATCCCATTTATCCCCAGACTGAGGGTCAAGATTTACTTCCAACTGTGCATTTTCTCATGGCAAATTATCAAAGATTAATGATAATTAAATTTACCAACCCTCATCGATACGTAGAGCCCATTAATCGGTATGGGGCAGGCAAGCAAATGGGTTTGGTATGAAGAACCTAGGGTCACTGAGGTAATCTGTCACTGGCCTCCTTAAATCCAACTGCAAATTGAACAATAAAATAATTATACAACCAACATTGGGCAAATGCGGGCATTCCAGATATAGAAAACCTAAAATCTATAAAGAAATCTATGCCGACTCTTATAATTATAACTATCACTGAACTTGACCTCCATTTGAATATGCGGGTATTTTACCTCTTATATGGCATGTAAATCCATTACATTAAATATAATTTCCATGTGATTCTCACATCCTTATTGTTCACAAGTTCAAGTCGAATTCCTTATGTTTTTTTTGGGGTCGATAGGGGAGGCAATTTTTATTGGATTTTATTTTTATTGTCCTACATAAATTTATTTATTTTATGACATTTTCAGCTATTTTTTTTCGGTTGTGGGCACATTGATATTTGACAGTTATTGCGGGTTCCGGAAACGCCCAGTTTTTCTGGTTCCCTTTTTATGGTTTGTGCATTTTTTCAGATTATTTGGTGTGTTTGTTTTACTTTGAGGGAATGTGGGCTAGAAATAGCAACAAAATACATAGTTAAAGTCTAAAATAATTGTAAGAATTATTAAATCAAATTAAATTATATAATGTGCTCTTGAGAAAATCTAAAGGAAACTTCTTAAGCAATATTTCAAGGGGGGAAATACTCTACTAAATAATAAAACATTCACAAAAGCGAATTTGAATTGCCTTCAAAGAGTCCTAAAATAATATAATCGTGGGTGGCTAATGAATTTTTCCATTTTTCCTTTGCAGGACTTCTGGCTGATGAAGCTCGTCCAATGCTCCACGGGTCAAGGATATTAAATCTTGTACAACACCCTCATAAACAGCTTTCCCCACACCCCCCCAAGTCAGTCGTAAAAAATCAGGGAGCGCACGTGTCCACCTTCTTTTTTCTTCCCTTTTATATGATTTTTTTGGGCCGCTTGCATGTCCAGGGGCCGAGATGCGTGAATAATTTTGTTGCAGGACCTTTGGTCACGCTGTGAATCAATCTTGCGGCCACCGGAAGTAAACAACAAACCCCCAACTGAAGCGCCGAATATGGGAATTAATGGATGCAATTTTCGAATATTTTACGAGCCAGTTGCCTGGCAAACTTTTTAGCTTGAATATCCTTAAAGCCTGACTGTCGGACTCGGAACAAAATGGAGCAGCTCTCTTGGTCCTGGGCTGTGTTTTTTTTCTTTCTGAGGGGGCGAACTATTAGCGTTTAGTGCGCATGTTTAAGGACGAAATCCCCGGCAACAGGGAGTGGAGCAAACAGCAACACTTCAAAGTGGTTGCAAGCAACCCTGAGTTACTTTTTCTCCCTGTTTCGCTCGGGCCGCGCGTCCTTTTTTGCGCCATTTGTATTGGCATTTGGCAGCGCGTGCTCCAATAAGAACAAAAGGAATTCCCTCACTCCTTGCCAGCTTCCGCCAATTTTGTTTGTTTGTTTTTTTTTTTGGCCGGGGTTTTTTTTCGGAACTTCCCAGTCAGGAGGCAGACAGGGCTAAAGGTTATTGGAGTGGCAATGCAAACGGTGGCCTCTATGGGGTCCCAGTGGGGAAAGAGGTTTACCTTTTTTATAATCCTAGGCTTCCTTAATTATTTCGTTTTCACAGTTTTTTCGCCAAGGAAATGTAAGTGGAGAAATCTACTATAAATTTTGACAAG